CGACCCATGGAACACAACGTGGGGGCTGCGGCCGTGTTCGCTGACTGTGCAGATGCGGAAGCAGTAGTCACCGTCGGAGGGCACGCAGTCTCCGGACACCTCCACGGCCCCAGCTTTCTCAATGCTGAAGCACTGCACCCAGTCTTCTGAGCCCACCTTCTGTCGCTCCAGCCGGTAGATGAAGGGGGTCTCGGGAACTGGCTCGGGAGGCTTCCAGGTCAGCAAGACCATGTTCTTGCGGCTCTTGAACATCTCTGCCAACACCGGGGGTCCTGGGGGATTGTGCTTGATGCCTGAGACAAAGGCAGGGTTTGTGTTGGAGCCCCGCTCCAGCCTCCCTCCACCCTCCCATCTTAGGTCCACTTTGCCAGCCTGGACACTGGCATCTAGTCACCCTCTTGTCCAGCTCTTGAGGAGTCAGACCAAGGGCTTTCACGCCCTCACATTTGACTCTGAGAAGAGTGGTGGTACGGGAGTTGCCCAGGCTAAAGGTGACTTCGCCAGCATCTTCTCGAGTGACTCCCGGAAGGACCAGGGCATGCATGTGGCCGGAGCTGCTCTGGCAGGTGGTCGGTAAGTCCTCCCCATCACGGCTCCAGCGCCCCTCGACCCCAGCCTCTCGCGTCTCCACCAGCAGCACCGCGTTCTCGCCCTCTAGAACGTCAAGCTTCCGGGGCAGCCGCTTTAGGATAGGCCCTGAGATGCGGACAGAAGCCATTAGCCCAGGGTCAGGGCACCTGTCTGTCTCAGCCTCGGCCTCCTCCCGCTGGCCAGCCGACCTTTGACTGTCACATTGGCCACAGTGCGCACCCGGCCCCGCATCTCGCACAGGTAGACACCATCGTCATCCGCCTTCAGCCTGTGAATGATGAGGCGCCTGAGGGTGCCTTCCTCGATCTGTTCATATTTGCGACAGGGCAGCAGCCGTTGGTCCTCACGGAACCAGGCCGTGGGAATGCGGGAGTTGGGAACTTTGCACTCCAGGACGGCAATCCCGTGCTCCCGGCCCTCCACGTCTTGCAGGGGCCTCGAGAAGCGGAGGCGGGGCTCTGTGGAGAGGAGAGAGACCAGAGAAAGCTCTGGAAAGGGCCAGACCAGGAGGGGGACTCCTCCTGGCATCAATAGCCGAACCCCCAGATTAGCTCATGCCGTCTGCTTTTCTCCCGGAGCCAGAAGGCATTGTGGAATCACGGGAAAACCTCCAGAAGGGAAGTTAAGATGGTGTAACTTTTCATCCGTCCCTGACACTAGCCACATCACCTTGAGCAAGGCCATTTTAGTGATCCTGGGCTTCAGCTTTCTTACCTGAAAAGTAGGGGAAAGGGATGGAAGGGCTTGGACTACATCAGTGATTTTCAAACTGCTGTTTGGGGCCCCTCAGAAGCACTACACAAATTCTGCAAGGGCCTGAGTCGAATTCTCTTTTTTCTTTTTAGAAAAAATTTTATGTATTTACTTCTTAGGGGGGGGAGGGAGGGAGAGAAACATCAATGTGCGAGAGATGCATTGCCTGGCTGCCCCTCATGTGCCCCCAACTGGAGAACCGGCCTGCAACCCAGGCATGTGCCCTGACTGGGAATCAAACCTGTGACCTTTGGGTTCACAGGCCGGCGCTCAATCCAATGAGCCACACCAGCCAGGGCTGAATTTTCTTTTGAAAGTACTTTAAGCATTTTAGAAACTGCATTTTGCAAAAAGAAAGCGTGAGGCTGGAAACAAGCCGCTGGGGGCTCCTGGCTGCAGGGCAAGTGCTTATGTCACGCAGCTCTGGCACGCTCTGCGTTTTGTATTGACGGAGTTTAGTCCGCTGGTCACTGTGCCGCGGCATGCCCATGAGGTCACCACAGCAGCACAGGTGCCACATGCTTGAACATGTGCCAGGCTAGGCTCAGGAGATTTGCCACCTTTTTTTCTTCTGAAGGAAAAAGGTGGGCAACAACTAGCAAAGGTATAATCCCGCAAATTGTGACAAAGTCCTATTATGGAGAACTTTAACATCCAGTGTGAGTTTGGGGTGCTCCCCTCATTTTCTGTTTTATGAGTATTTACTAGACATTGGTGGTGACTTAACTTTGAAATATAAATTTCTTCTCATTCACCCTCCTCTTCTTGCAAACCTGGGGAGAGCAGTCTAATGAAAGAATGCTCAAACATCGCAGGGCGGTTTTTCTCCCAAGTTTACTCTTGGGGTGAACGAAGAATTCCCCAAGGTGAGGCTTGCAGCCAGGCCCCGAAATGAATGCAACCTCCACTGAAAATGTGTGTATTCAACAAAACAGCCCACTTGTTCTCACTGATTGGCTTTATAAGCACATGTTAGCAATCTGGACTTAAAAATTTACAGCCATAGCCCTGGCAGGGTAGCTCAGTTGGTTGGAACATGGTTTGAGTGCACCAAGGTCGCAGGTTCCATCCCCCGTTGGGGCACATACAAGAATCCACTAATGAATGCATAAGTGGAACAACAAATGGATGTTTCTCTCTCTCTCAAATCAATACTTTAAAAAAAATTTTTAAGAAGTTATAGCTATAAAATGATCCTTTTCTTTCTAATATGTTGGGGCCCTAAATGGAATTTCCATGGTGGGGGTGGGGAAGGAGTAAAAAATAATAGAGGTTGAAAAACCAGTGGACTACAAGAGTTCTAGACCCCTCTCAGTTTGTAAATCAAAGGGAGGTTTTTCCGCCATCTGCTTCAGAATCACCTGAAGAGTCTGCATGGAGACCTACTAAATCCGAATCCCTAGGGGGTCGAAGGCGGGCAGCAAACAGGATTTCACTACCCGGCTTCCCCTACCCGGCTTCCCCTACCCGCGCCGTCTTCAGGGCAGCGCAGGGCACGGAGGGGTGGCCGGAATTCGGAGGATCTGGGAGGGGGCGCCGCCATACCTTTGACGTGCAGCTGCACGGCGCTGAGCGTCTGGCCTGCCGAGTTGCGCGCGGCGCACACGTAGAGCCCGCGGTCCTTGGCCTGGCAGTAGAGCACTTTGAGCACGAAGCCTCCGTCGCGGTCGCGGTACATGAGGCGGCGGCGGTCGGGGAGCAGCGGGCGGCCCTCCCAGTGCCATTCGATCTCAGGCTCGGGCTTGCCCATCACATAGCAGCGGAACTTGGCGTGCTTGCCCTCGTTCACCCAGAAGGTCTTGGGTGCGCACTTGAGCGGCTCCACCCCCGGCTTGGAGGCCTCGTCGGGGTCCTCCGGCGGGCTCTCGGGGGGCTGGTGCACCTGGAGCAGCGCGCCGACCTGCGCGTGGCCGTGCGCGTTGCGCGCGTGGCATACGTAGACGCCCGAATCCGGCAGCCGTGCCGCCAGGATGCGCAGCGTCAGGCTCGCGCCCCGGGTGCCCTCCGCGTGGCCCGGCTCCAGCACGAAGTGACTGCTGTCCCACACTTCGTCCAGGGCCATCCCGTCCTTCTCCCAGTACAGCGTCGGCGCGGGGAGGCCCCCCACCTGGCACGTCAGCACCACCTCCGTCCCCCGAAGCACCCACTGCGACCGGGGTCCCGTCAGGAACATCGGGGCGCCCTCCCCGGTCCCGGGCGGCAGCAGCGAGGACTCAGAGGGCTGGGGCTCAGGCTCGGGGGCCGGCGGCTCCAGCACAGTGATCGCGGCCGCCGCGTAGGCCTCCCCGGCCGCGTTGCGGGCGCGACACACGTAGACCCCCGCGTCGGTGGGCAGCGCGCCAGTCAGCAGCAGGCTGTGCTCAGCACCGTCGGTGGGGAAGCTAAAGCGCTCCGAGGCCTCCAGCTGCTGCCCGCCCTTCTCCCATACGACAATGGGTGGCGGCTCCCCCAGGACCACGCACTTGAGCTCGGCCTCGGCGCCACTTACCACCCGCACGGGCCGCGGGAAGCGCAGAAAGCACGGGGGGCTCCCCTGATCGCCCGAGCCAGCCTTCATCGCGGCGGCCGCAGACGACCTGCAGTGCTCGAGGGAAGGGGGGGCGGTAGACGCGCGGAGGTCCAGAGCTGCGGCGGGAGCCTGGGGGGCGGGGTGCGTCTGAGGGTCCGGCGTGGGGATCGTGGAGCTCTCCCCGAGCCTCCCGCTCACCCTTGCCTCCTTACCCGCGGCCCGGACCTGCAGCTCTGAGGTGGCGGCGGTCCTGAGGGGCCGGGAGTCCAGAGCTCAGGGGGCAGTCCTTCCTGTTTGCCTTCACAGCAAGGGGCCCTGCAGCCTCCCCAGCCAGTGGCCTGGCTTCCTGCTCCAGAAACCCTCTCTTCCCAGCCCCCTCCCACAGCCCGGGCCTCTCCCCCTCCTCCCTCCCACCTCCAGCCGCCAGGTCCCCAACCACCCGCCAGGCTTGGGCCTGAGTGGCAGAGGCGCCTGCAGCTGCCAATCCCAAAAATATTCTCTGATGACACAGCTGGAGGATAAGAGCCCAGACTGGCTCCTTGAGGCTAAGTTTAGAGCAGGCGGGACCACCTGCCCCCCACACTAGCCCCAGCTCTAGTTCCAGCCTCATTCAGCCTGTCCTCCCATGACTGGCCCAGCAGCCCTTTGTTTGAAAGGGGCTCCAGAAGGTCTGAGGGGCTCGTGCATTGTCTCCCTGACCAATAACACTTTTTAGGAACCCGCAGACACCCCGTGCCAGCCTCCTGTCCCACAGGTGCTGGGTCTGGGATGTGACTCACATTGTGTGTGTGTATGTGTGTGTGTGTGTATGTGTGTGCACCCGTGTGCAGGGGGAAGGGGTTGTATGCAAGGGTCAGGTCACTTAGGGTGAAAACCCTCACCAGCACCCTCCCCCGCATTCCTGGCGGGAGTGGGAGATAAGGCTCAGGGCCACAGACATCTGCGTCAGAGAGGAGGTCTCAATGCCACGGGCAGGGGCGACGGAGACTGCAGGGCGTGGGAAGGCCTGGGGAAGACTAGGGTGAGAGGGGCAGAAGAGGCGGGGTGGGGGGTGGGCTGGGGAGGGGGCAGTGGGGAGGCCGGGGCAGACCCTGACAAAGGGCACAGGGCAGGGTGTGGGCTTACCACTGGCAGGGACAAGTGAGCTATGTTGCCCCAGCTGCCACTGCTGCTCCTCTTGCTGGTGGCCCCACAATGGGGGCACGGCTGCCAGGGGACAGAGCTGGACCGGGAACTTGTCCTGGCCAAGATGAGGGCCCTGTTCCTGGATGCCTTGGGACCTCCGGCAGTGACCGGTGAAGGTGGGGATCCTGGAGTCAGGCGGCTGCCCCGAAGACATGCTGTGGGGGGCATCATGCACAGGGGCCCCGAGCCTGAGGAGGAGGAGGTCTCCCAGGCCATCCTTTTCCCAGCTACAGGTAATGAGGATGGGGAATGGCGGCTTTGAGGAGCAGCATGGTACGCAGCGTGGGATCGGAAGGCAGGCAGATCTGCGTTTGAATCCCAGACCTGCCACTCAACTGGCTTTGCAACAATGGGCCAATAACTAAACCTCCCTGAGTCTCTGTCTCCTCACCGATAAAATGGGCAGTAATGCCTCCCTCTCAGGACTCAGGGAGATGGCGTATTCAGATCGCACGGCTCCTTAGGAGGCGTTATGGGGATTGTCGCCTGGGAGGCCAAGGGTTTCTAGAGACGGAGATACTTGGGTATGGACCCCTTTCTGCCACCCTTTCTCCTATCTCCACCTTTGCTCCATGCTCCGAACCTTGTTTCTGTAGCCCCAAGTATCTGAGACTTGAGAAGACATGAGGGATGCAGGAGAAAGAGTAGCTGGGAAACTTTTCCGGGATACCTACTTCACTTTCTCTTGAGTTCCCTTCTGACCTCCCCATGTTCCGCCGACTCGATGAGTAAGGGCCTCCTCTGGGCAGACTTTCTCATCCTCTGGCCCACCTCTCTTCCAGACAGGACCCTGTGCAGCACAGTCAGAAAAAGTGTGGCTTTGGGATCAGGGCGATTCCCAGCCTGGCCACTCGGTAGTTAAAAGCCACTTTACCTTTTTAACCCTCAGTTTCTTTATCTGCAAAATGGGCCAATTGTTGTGAGGTTTATAATGAGAGAACCCATTTCCTCAGCTGGTGCTGGTTCATGCTCGTTCAGTGGAGCCTGTGTACCTGTCAGGGTAAGGATGGCAGCTGCACTTTCTTAGAAAGCACTTTTATTCTCAGCTATATCCTTTCTCTTCCTCTTCCTGCTCTTCCGCCTCCCCTTTTTTGGTATTAACCTGCCTTTATAAGGTGGGCTTTTTTAAAAGAATGTATCTTGCAATATTTCTGACATGTAAAAAGATGTAAAGAATAACATAGCTTATGTACACAACATTCACGTTGCCCTTTCACACCATCAGATGAACAAAAACTTAAATCTAACTACCAATTCCAAGTGGTGGTGTAGGTAAAGTGGCAGGGCCTCGTGCACAGTGCTGATGGGAATATTAACTGGTGAAATCACCAGAGAGAGACGCTGGCAATGTCTTGTGTTTTTAAACTCCTTTAATGATGAAATAACAAATCAGGAGCCTCTGTCTGTTCTCTCAAGACTGGGGAGAGACCCTGTGTCTGGCAGAGCATTCAGTGCGGGGCTTGGCAGGCCCCTGAATGGCAGCTGCTTCCCTCCTGTTGAGCAGGAGGGGCCCCAGGTTCTGCCAGTTCGGGGCTGCCCATGAGGTCTCTGCATGTCCCTTTATCTCCTGCAGGCTCCAGCTGTGAGGGCCAGCCCGCTGCTGCGAGGGAGCGTGTCCCGGAGGCCGAGGGGGGTCTCTTCTCCTACATGTTCCGGCCGTCCCAGCACACACGTAGCCGCCAGGTGACTTCGGCCCAGTTGTGGTTCCACACGGGACTGGAGAGGCAGGGCACAGCAGCCTCGAATAGTTCTGGACCCCTGCTAGGCCTGCTGGCCGTGTCATCACGGGGTCCCATGGCTGTGCCCATGTCCTTGGGCGAGGCGCCCCCCCGCTGGGCTGTGCTGCACCTGGGCCCCTCGGCACTGCCCCTGCTGACCCATCCCATCCTGGTGCTCCTGCTGCGCTGCCCTCTCTGCTCCTGCTCAGCCCGGCCTGAGACCACGCCCTTCTTGGTGGCCCACACGCGGGCCAAGCCCCCGACCGGAGGGGAACGAGCCCGACGTTCGACGCCTCCGCTGCCCTGGCCTTGGTCCCCCGCTGCACTGCGCCTGCTGCAGAGGCCTCCAGAGGAGCCCGCTGCCCATGCGCACTGCCACCGGGCTGCCCTCAACATCTCCTTCCAGGAGCTGGGCTGGGACCGGTGGATCGTACACCCACCCAGTTTCGTCTTCCACTATTGTCACGGTGGCTGTGGGCTGCCCACCCAACCAGACCTGTCGCCACCGGTCCCTGGACCTACCCCCACCCCCGTTCAGCCCCTTTTCCTGGTGCCAGGGGCCCAACCCTGCTGTGCGGCTCTCCCGGGGACCATGAGGTCCCTCCATGTCCGCACCACCTCAGATGGGGGCTACTCCTTCAAGTATGAGACAGTGCCCAACCTTCTCACGCAGCACTGTGTTTGTGTCTAAGGGGGTCCTGCTGGCGGTGAAACCCCCACCATCCCCCGGTCGGGGGAAGGGCAGAATGGAAAATAGATGTTCTCCATTTCCCTCCTCCTTCCACTTCTCTGCCTGCGGGTTCCCTCCCCACCTTAACCCTGTCCCATGGGTAGCGTGACAATAAACAACCCAGTGCGTATGACTTGGCATTGCATTTTAGGGCTCTTGTGATACGGCCGGGGTTCTGGGGGAGATCTGAGCCCTGGGAGAATGGGGTTGGGAGATCTCAGGTCACTTAGCCTCACTTGACCTTGGAGATCTGCGGTTCAAGAGCTGGATTTGGATGTGTATCTGGTGGGAAGCTACAACATTTGGGGATGACAAAAAGGTGATCGAAGCTCCTGAGAGCCACTCCGGAGGCGGAACTAGTCCTCATATCCGCTGGACCCGATGTGTCAGTCCGGCTGTCTGCCTCGCCACACCTAAAAGCAACCGAGGCACTCAGAGCAGCTGCATCTAAGGTGTCCAGAAGCGCCTCCGCTGCCATTCTCTGCCCTAGCTCATGGGCACCTAGTTCAAGGTCAGGTGATTTGTAGACTGCTCAGAGATCATGGCTTGGGGCCCCACAAAGACAGATGGATGTTCAGAGCTGGTAAGATCTTGGATTTCTCAGGAACTTGGGTGAGACATAAGGCAGTATCTGAAAGCTGACAAGGATGGAGAGGAGGCAGAAGAACGAAGACCCGAGGATTTTAATTTGCTAAGGGCCCTGGAACTCCCTGGAACCTATCACTGGCTCATGATAAGGTAGCCCTTCAGGAAGCCTGGTTGTGCTGTGACCCTGGTCCTTGAAATATTTGGCTCCCTGATGCATCCTGTGTATCTTTACTTTACCCAACTCAGTCCTTAAGGTGGAAAGCACAGAAACGCAGAACTACTGTTGGAAGGATGTGTGCTCTTGTGTGCATCTGTGCACACACTTTGTGTACGTGCTGAGTCCAGAGCAGGGGGCAAGGAGCCCCTTTCTTTCCCTATTGGGTTCATTGTGCCTGCTGTAATTGGCCACGGGGATCCCCCCACCCTTCCCTCCTTGCTTTGTTCACTCTCCTCCCCTGGGTCCTGCTCTCCTCCTGCCCCACCCCAGCTCTGCCTCTCAACCAGCTGGTTCCATCCAGTCTCCCTTTAATGGAGCTGTGTGTGGAGGGGACGGCTGGGGATGCTCAGGCCCCTCAGACTGGAATTCCAGAGCACTGTCTAACACCGACTGCACAACTGCAGTGTGTATTTCTGCTAACAGAGTGACTCATTGGAGACTCCCCCCTGCTAACCCAGCTGGACGGGGTGAGCTGGTAGGCACCTGCCCAGGCAGGGGATGTGGAGGGGAGAGAATCCCAACCCAGGATCCTTTGGCTAACACCTTCCCCCTGCTTGAGCTGAGCTGAATGATAGATTGTTCCTCAAAGCACCGGAGCCCACCAGAGCAGCCCTCGGCCACGCTCCTGCCAGAGCCTCAGGGGACACTGAATCCCAAAGAAAGCTGCAGCTTCTCTGGAGAGGAGATCTGCCCATCATCGTTCTGAGTCTCTCCAAGCACCTTCAGCTGGGCCCCGCATAGCAGTCGGACTGTGCTCAGGGCTCCCGGGGTTGCTGCTCAGGCAGCGAACTGCGGAGAGGAATGGCTGGGCCCGGCCAGGGTGGCGAATGGGAGACTTGCCTCGAGCCCACCTGAGCATCGCTCTCTCCCTGTGGCTCCCCTTGCCAGATCATCCTCGCCTGAGAGGCGCCTTTCCCTGGGGCCTTCAGTCCTCCCAGCAGGCTCAGGACGGATCCTCCTTCTCCCTGCTGGGGCTGCCTACAAGCCGAGCCGGCGTTGTCCAGACTCTTCCTGTCCCGGGACTGCGAATGAGTTCAGGGAGCTGAGGACACCATGGAGGGGCACAGCTTTCTTCTGCACTAGGTCACTTAGGAGATTGCTATTGCTGGTAAAAGTTTTCACATATCTGAGACAAAGAGAGGAAAGTGAGTATGACATAGTATCTTCCAACAAAGCCAGAGGTATTCATTTTAAAGGGCTGTCCTTTATTCTAAAGTTATCCTTTCTCTGTGAGTACTGTGAAAGTGTTATTTCTTTTATGGTATTAAGACAATGGTAGAAGGTAGTGTTTTTTGTTTGTTTTAAAGTATTTTTTAGAAATTAAAAAACAGATTTTATTTATTTATTTTTAGAGAGAGGGGAAGAGAGAGAGAAAGAGAGAGAGACAGTAATGTGTAGTTGCCTCTCACGCACCCCTACTAGGGACCTGGCCTGCAGCCCAGGCATGTGCCCTGACTGGGAATAGAACCGGCGACGCTTTGGTTCACAGGCTGGCACTCAATCCACTGAGTCACATCAGCCAGGGCTGTTTTAAAGTATTTTTAAATAACAAGATTAAAACTTGGAAATTCTTATTTGGACCCTAAGATTTTTCTTTGTAATTTTGCTGATGGAATTTCCAAATCTGTGAAATCCTGAAGTCTGGGTGCCACTGGTCTGAGCAAATTAGGAAGATACAGCCGCCCCTCCCTAAGAGAGACAGTGACTAAGGACATCTTTTGTCCTCATTCTTGGCCTGGAGACTAAGAGCAGTAGACTTCAGGGATCCTCCCTGTTCCAGTGCTAATCATTAGGGACACTATGCACACTTTACTGGGAGCTAGTCTGAGTAGAAAACCCAATTCAAATAAGCTTAGATTAAAACAAAACAAAACAAAACAAAAACCACTGGCGGGGGCGGGGAAGTGGGGCCAGGAAGAGCAATGTTGTGGGGGGATTGGGACAACAGTAATAGAACAACAATAAAAAAAAAAATCTTAAAAAAAATAAATCACTGGCTTATAGCAAGTCCAGGAGCACAGCTGGCTAAGATATGGCTGATTGTGGGCTTCAAAGATGCTACAAGGATCCAGCTATAGGGTCTACATCCTCTGAGTCAGCTCCGTCCCTGCTCTGTCCTTGGCGGCCTGGGCTGCTCCAGGCTCCCATCACCACACGACTTGGTCTAGTAGGAGGGAGTTCACATACAGAAGGCCCAGAAAGACTGTGCTGATTAAGGTCATATGCTTCTCTAGGAAGGTTGCCCGAGGGAACAGAATGAGCTAATGACTTAGATTTATGGGCCCTACCCTTGCAGCCCAGAGCCTAAAACACCAGGGCTAAGGGTGAAAAAAGGTGATATCCTCGAAGCAGGGTACAGTTACCCCAAAAAGGTGGGGTGGAGGCGAGAGAAAAGTGCTGTTGGTTCCTCCTCCCCATTATCTCTCACATCAAGCCTGCTCTCTATCCCTACATAGGCAATATTTTGTCCTTTAGGTGGCAATTCTCTTTTTTTAAAAATTTTTATTTATTTATTTTTAGAGCGAGGGGCAGGGAGGGAGTTAGAGAGGGAAAAACATCAATCCATTGTTTTACCAGAACCAAATGCACAACTCAGGCATGTGCCCAGACCGGGAATCAAACCAGTGACTTTTTGCTTTGCAGGATGATGCCCAATCAACTGGGCCACACCAGTCAGTGCTAGGGAGCAATCCTTGACTGAGCAATTCAGCAGCCTCCTAACCAGTCTCTAAACAGTCATTCCCTACCCCTCCAGGGCATGTTTACCTGGCTTCAAGGAAGCAGTCACAAAACTCCAGAGGAGATCTCTCTTGAAATCTTCTGCCAGCAGTAATGCCACTTTAAAGAATTTCTATTGTTATTCTTTCTTGCTGAATTTCAGAAGCATGCATGCAATGATAGTCACCCTTCTCTTAACAGACTCCAGAAATTAAAGCATTCTTGGGGATATTAAAAGGTCTCAATTACCTGTCACCTAAATTGAAACTGTTATTTGGGGTGGTGAACACACAATACTGTGTTCAGATGATGTGTTGTGGAATTGTGCACCTAAAACCTGTTTAATTTTGTAAACCAGTGTCACCCCAATAAACTCAAGAAAAAGGAAAAAATACATTGAAACTGTGGCTCTACAGTTTAAGCAAAATCTGGACATCTTGCAGCCGATTACTCCGTAGATGTATTCAAACCACTTATAAAAGGTGGTTTGATGACCCCATCATCAAACTCCATTTTGTAGCGTTACCTGTAAATGACTTAGCTTAGCCATCACCTGAACCTCCTGAGGCTTTGTTCACACGGACAGTCCCACATTCCTTTGCCCCTTTGAAAAGTTCATTCACAACTTTCCCAGTAGAAAGTCAAATTAGATGTAGCCCAGTGTATTCATGCTCCCTTGAATACCATACTGCAATGGAGCGAAGTGGTGGTCAGCCCCCAGCCAAGTGAACACATCCCCAGGGGGCGGAAAACCTTTGAGGTGGCTGGTGTTCGTGCAGTTTTAAACACTGTAACTTTAGGTCTATCAGATCTGGAAGATTTTCATTTCACTTCATCTTCATATAATGCTGCCAAGGCCAATTTATTTCTTGATATATTACCACTTTGGTTGTTTTCAGGTTTCTTTGAGAGGTCTTCATTTTTTTCTTAAATTCTGCAAATCCAGTGCTTTTGGGGGCCACAGCCCTGAAGGCCCCCCACCGTGGGCTGGTGCTGCCCTTGTCATCATCTGCCCGGTCCCCGGGCTCTTATCCTTTGAATGTTTCTTTTTTCCTCCTTTTTTTTTTGGGGGGGGGAGTGTATGGGTGATGGGACATTTTATCCTATTTTTTAGTTTGAACACATTTACTGTCTTTGCTTACCATTGTTTTTTTGTCTCTCGCTTCTTCCTCTTAGATTCATTTTTCTCAATGCTGACCTATCCTCTTTTATTATTTATCTCAGAGTAGGTCTGTAGGTGATAAACTTTATGAACTCCTCTTCCAAATGAAGAACACTTGAACCATGGTTGGGCTGTTTGTATAATTCTAGATTCAAAGATGTTTTTCCTCTGAATTTTGAAAAAGTCTCTTCCTTTTCTTCTTGCATCCTGTTTTTCAGTGAGAGACTTAATGTCAATATGATTCTCATACTTTTGTAGTTCATCCATTTTTTCCCC